TTGGGGGTGATCTTTGCTAGTAAGTTTTTAAATAGACTATTCACCCCCCCCCTCTAGTGTTTGGGCACCATTGTGTAGGAATAACAATTGGTATCAAAGCGAGGTTGTTTATTCAAGGTTTAAACATCTGAGAAAACGATCCACACAATGATGTTCATGACTGAGGGTCATAGTATGAACAAACATCTGAGAACTTGTATTGATATATGTCTAGACCTTAGAAGCTCTTGTAGTGTAAAACATGATGTTGATAAAATAGTTATATCTGATAATGCTCCTGTGACTGTAAATCTTGTTGTTTTGCCTGATATCATATGTCAAGGTGAAAAAGATTATAAGCATGTTGGAGATCAAGGCTTAGATGTTATTAAGTGTGATATCTCCTCAGATTGTTTTAATCCTTTAAGTTTCAAATTCACTTGTTCTATTGACTCTATTGATGTCTTGACCTTAATGGTTGAGAAGATGGGTAAGTTTTGCAGGAAAAAACTGGAATCTCGCCAAGTCTTTTTTTGCAACCTTACTCATATGTCAGGAAGACACAACAAGTTATAGTTCAAACTCACAGTATGATCTTGATGACTCAGAAACTGATGATATCTTCTTTACGAGAGCTCTTATGGCAATATCATGTTCTCAGCTTGAGTGTGAGACCACAAGTAGAGAATGTGATGATTCTGAGTGTGAACCTGAAGAAGAGGATCTTCAATCTGCATATAATGAACTTTATGAAAAATTCAAGAAAGTGACAAGGAGCAATTGCAAGATCAAGTTACCAAACTTACTTCTCTAGTCCAATCTCTTTCAGATGAGAAAGAGATTCTAACTCTAGAGTTAAAGAGGATGGAGATCTCTATAAGGAAGACAAAGTTTTCTACTTCATCCTTTGAGACTTTATCTCTAAATCACCTCTTCAAGGTGTCTCAGAGTCCTCATGATAAGGATGGATTGGTATACAGGGATGTAAAAGAGTTTGGTACACCAATTACTAAACAGAGATTGAATCAACATCGTGGGATACGCACGTGTTTCATTTGTGGTCAGCCTGGTCATTTACAGAGACTGAGGAAAATTGTTGCATCTCTTGAGGCTAAGAAGAAAGATCTGGAATTCTTAATCAGCAAATCTTATCCCAAGAAAGTGATAGCAGTATGGCAACCTAAAGATTCTGTAAAGTGTTTGGTTGTCGGGTGTGCTCTGAAAGCTGGAAAAACTTCTAAGTGGTATCTTGATAGTGGATGCTCGAAACACATGAAAGGAGACAAGTCTTTTCTGGAAGACTATGAGCCATATGATGGTGGAAATGTTATCTTTGGAGATGGTGTAAATGCCAAGATAGTTGGGAAAGGTGTGGTCCAATCCGAAGGCATTCCAAAGATCAATGATGTTTCTCTTGTTGATGGTCTTCGACATAACTTGCTCAGTATCAGTCAGATATGTTATAAAGGTAGCTTCTATTTATTCTCAAGCAAGGAATGTTTAGTACTTGATCGTGACTTGAACAAGGTTCTCATGAGAGGAATACAATCCAATGAGGATTCTTATGTTATCAATATTGAAGAACCTGTTGCTAAATGCAATTTTGTTGAAGATGAGACTTCTCTTCTATGGCATCAAAGACTTGGGCATATGAATTTGAGAGATCTGGCGAAGATCAGTCGAAAAGAACTTGTACGTGACTTACCGTCTTTGAGTCCTGCCATCTTTGAATCCTAAAAAGACTTTGTGCAGTGCATGTCAGATTGGGAAACAAGTTAGAAGCTCGCATGTGAAAAAAGGTTTATCAGCACTACTCGTCCACTTCAGCTCATTCACATGGATCTGGTTGGCCCCACACAAGTTGAAAGTCTTGGGGGAAAATCTTATTTTCTGGTTATGGTAGATCATTATAGCAGGTGGACATGGGTAGTTTTTCTCAGACACAAGAGTGATGCCTTCCAAGAGTTTAAGAAGATTTGCAGGAGAGATGTTACTGTTAGAGGTGATGACATTGTCCATATCAGGAGTGATCGTGGAGGAGAATTCGTTAACTCCAACTTTGTTTCCTACTGTAACAACTTAGGTATTCAGCATCAATTCTCTGCTCAATAGAATGGAGTAGCTGAAAAGAAGAACCGTGCTCTGCAAGAGATGGCTACTGTAATGTTGCATCATAAGAAAGTAGCGAGGCATTTCTTGGCAGAAGCAGTTAACACCGCTTGCCACATCATTAACCGTGTCTACTTGAGACCTGGTACTACGATTACTCCTTATTAACTATGGAAAGGTCGTACACCCACAGTTGGGTACTTGAAGGTGTTCGGGAGTACATGCTACATCTACAGAGACCGTGAGAATGTAGCTAAGTTTGACAGAAAGGCTGATAAAAGAATTTTCCTTGGGTATGTGATAAGCGCTAAAAAGTGTAAATATATCCCCTTAACTCATGTATATTTGTCCCAAGTTATGATATAAAGTGATATGATATGCTTGGTATTGTTAGAATTACGTGTTTATAGGTGCATTTCGCCCGGAAAAGCTAAAAGGAAGCAAAATACGGTAAAAATGCAGTTTCAAGTAGCCAACTTGACGCAATTAAACGAAAGGGTTAGAGAGCTCGGATTTTGAAGCACAAATAGGAATTGGAAAGCTCTCACTTCCTACTTCAAGACTAATATAAATCATAAAACAAAGAGATAGAATCAGGACAAAAAGACTCGTCAACACCTGTCAGACCCAGTTTCTGTAGACTGTTTTTGGGCCACTTGGGCTTCTTGGAAGTCGTGTTTCTAGAAAGAATTTGGACCTAAGATTTTGACTGATTCTTCCACGTTGTTTGAATAAGAACTCCACTAAATTTCAGCTCCAAAAGCTTCCTACAAGTTATTTAATAAATTACAAACTCTTTTCTAGCAATTTTCAAGGAGTTCTAGGGTTAGAAGGACTCCTCCCTATATAAAGAAAGGAGAGCCACGAAATTCAGTGTGCTTTAATCTTAAATTGAAGTACCATGTTAGGTTTTTACTTTATTTTATTTTGAAGAAGAAGTTCCATTGATTATAATACAAGTCTATTTACTTTTCAAGTTCTTTACTTTTCAATCTTATCTTTACTTTTCATGCAATTTAATCTTTCATCTTTATATTCATGTGTTTTAATTATGTCTTTTACTTTTACAACCACCATCATCATCACCACAATCATCATGAGCTAATCGATTTATGGGGTTTTTATAAGTGGATTAGGTAAGTAGAAGAATTTACTACAAGTGTTCTATGTTTGCCATGCTAGAAAGGTAATTATTTTATAATTGATCACGTAGAATAGTTTTTGCTCTTTGTTCTTCATAATAAATAAAAGAGAGATCTTTTTGCATATGTAGAGAATTTCGAGCCTCATACGCCCGTTAGCATATCTTAGCATCGAGAGAGAGAAGATAGTTAACAAATAGTATAAAGAGTTGTAATTCACTACTTGTATGAAGGGATCGAGGTAAGAGGTACTGGGTCTTGAATACTTCTTGAGGTCGAGTTCCTGGGTCGAGAACAAGGGAACTCACTACCAATTATTGCTTGTCTATGAGTTTATAGTTAGATGCATGGGAAACAAGCATGAGTAGTTAATTTGGACACTTGCCTATGAAACGAAGTAATACCCCACTTTTCTCTCCATATTCACAATATTTATCTTATCTTGTTTGCTTTACTTAAATTGCATTTTCATCACTTCAATCATAATTACTCTCAGTCAATCAAACTCCTACAAGTTATAAATCCCTTCATAAACGACATCATCTTTCGTCGTTGTTTCCTGTTTGTAGCTAAGTACCCAATTCTTGGGAAGAGTGGATTCGGTATCATGATACTTGCCTCTACACTAGTTTTAGGATTAGTTTAGTTGTTAGAATCACAAAGGGAAAATATTTAAGTAGTGCCGGTAGTATTAACAAGTTCTGCAGCTGGGTTCACTAGCATTGCTTATTTGACGGGAATAACCAAAACTCGTCAAATCAAATTGGCGCCGTTGCCGCTCTAAGAAGATCCAAGGTACTTACAGACGAGAATCAACACATTCAAGCCCGCACAGCACCGCCCGATCAAAAATTTTGGAGTTTCTGTCGAACTCGCCTGGGGCGACTTGCCAAGCTTTGCCAACTCGCGCCGGGCGAGTAGGTCAATAGAGACCAAAATTTTTTGCTTTTACAAAAATTTTGAAAATTTCAGAATTTTAAATTTTTGGACCAAGGTATGTGTTTCAAACACTTTTAAGGTATTTACATTCCGTATTTTGCCATTTTGAATATTATTTGCTCGTTTGCGCGCGTTCAAAGGAAAAAGGTACGTGTACTCTTAACACCTCGAATCTCATGTAAGATGTTTAATTTTCAATATTAGAAGTCTGAATTGTTTGCTTTGAGTCCTTAGCTAAGTTTTGATAATAAGTTGATAAAGGGTACGCACGAAAAGACCCGATATCAACACCTTAGTATATGATTTTACGCTCTGGTATTAGGTATACTCCTTTGGTTGTTAATAAGTCGGAAGTTAGTCCGATAGTTTTTTATCTTGATAATAGCTCTCTAGGCTTATCAAATAGTGCTTTTGAAGTAGATTCCGATAGTAGCCACTCGATCATTCCTGTTGAAATGGCTAATCCTGAAAGGCCACTTCCTGATATTTTTGCTCCCTTATCTACCGGACATCCTAATTACATCGTTTTGCCTGCACTCGAAGATGGAGCTGATTTCAAACTTCACTATGGCATCATCAACATGTTGCCAAAGTTCTCTGGTCATGAGCGAGAAGACCCTTGTACTCATTTACATCAATTTGTCAAAATATGCTCAACTCTTAATGAAACCAGACTAGGCGTTGATGGTATTCGTCTAAGGTTATTCCCGTTCTCTCTAAATGACAAAGAATCTCAATGGTTAAACTCTTTAGCCGGAAACTCTATCCGAACTTGGGATCAGTTGAACACAAAATTCCTTACTAAGTTCTATCCCATGTCATGGACAATAGAGTTAAGAAACAAGATCCAAACTTTTAAATAAAAGCATACGGAGGATTTCTTTGAAGTTTGGGAAAGATTTGATGAGTTACAAATTCAGTGCCCACATCATCAAATACCTATGGAAACATTAGTTCAATGCTTTTACAGTGGTCTAAACCCTATGACTCGTGCTTTAGTAGAATCTATGAATGAGGGTCAATTCCTTAGTAAAACCGCAACATAAGCAAATGATTTCTTTATAAGACTTGCTGAAAATTCTCAACATTGGGGAAACCCATCTAATCCGATCCCTGGAGTCTTTGAAGTTAAACCTATGGCTAAAATGGAACAAGATGGAGAAGTAAAAACTTTAATTCAAAATCTAGCTAAGAAAGTTGAGGCTCTCTCCTTACAAAGTAA